TAGTTAGTTGCATCACATAGTCTTTGCATGCTTGATATGTTCATGTTTAGCTTGCATGAATAGGTAGCATGGCATTCCATTAGGTGCATTACTTTGCATTGTATATGGCATACGTCGCATTACATTTTGCTTGGTTTGGGGTGTCAAACCAAAGTATGAGGGATTGAGAAGTGTTCGTACTTGAAGGTGACGAAACACGTTTTCATCCGTTCGCCAATTTGCCCTTGAATCTCACAGATTAGGGCATTCGGCACTTCATTTGGTTTTGTTGCATGCATTTACATTGATTGGAAACTTGGTGTCTTTAGGCCATCATTGCATTGCGAATGCGTGATTGGTGGCTCGAGTACCAAGGGCCACATCTCCTTGAATCCGATAACATGATTGAATAGTGGCCATGCACACATTTGGCTTTGAAATTCCATGCCAATAACACTGCTTCCCTCTCTGGCTTCAACTGCGGATTCTGCAACAATAAATGAGCCGACCGGCCATCTCTAGTGCGACCGGCGCAGGAAGTGTCCAGCCGATGACACCATCTTTTGGTCATAAGCCTATTCCCGTAGCGGTGACCTTTTGTTCTGGCCAGTGGCACTCCACACCACTTCAGAAGGAAGCTCAAGGCAGTTCTGAGACTTCATAATTTTCAGCAGAGGTGAGCAATGTAAACAAGCTACAGGGGCATGGTACGGGGTTTTCGGGCAAGGCGGATCAGCATGCATCATGCCACCACATCCCGAGGCACGGGCTGAGGCCACCTTCCTTCTGCCATTAATTTGTTAAATATTAGAAGTTCTGTAATAATTAATTTGAGTAGTATTCCGTTTGGTTGTGTAATATTATTTCAAACTCCCGAGACGAGGGCAATTGTGTAATAAGTGTGTGTGAAGTTGTGTTGTTTTCCAACCCCCACTTCTTTCTTCCCTTTTATTTACTAGCTTTCGAGGTGAGTATTAGGACATATTTAAATTAGATACCTTAATGTTATGCCATGCGTGCATTCATAGCATTTGTCTTGCATGCACGGGCGGCTCGCGCATCATGCTAACTGCATTGTAATTTAATTCAAATTTGAATACGTGTTATCTATTGCATTGCACATGCCATGTTTAGGATAGCCGAGCCTGTCAAGAGGTTTGCATCTTGCATATGTATGCATTAGCCATTTTAAAAACATGAACAGAGATCATGCATATGCTTACTAACTAAGTTTCTATTTTGGCTTGAGTAACTCGTAAGCATTTATATTTAGCATCCTTGCATGAGTGTGAGTGTTGCCATTGATAGCATGTCTTACCATGAGGCTATATGCTTACCGTGTTATAACTGCCTATGCTTGTGGTGAGGGGGTGGGTTACTTAATATTGGAAACAAGATTGAATAAAGTTTTAAGCCCACTTGGAGAGTGGCAAAATTATATTTTCTAAGCCCCCTTGAGGGTGGCCAAAATTCATGTCTTAAGCCTACTGCGGGTAGCACGATCAGAACCATTTCAAATAAACAAACATGACATCGTTCTCGTCTTCCAAATTTAGGCGACTTAGTCGTATACTTGTTGCTGTGCGGCATCACTATTAAATCTAGAAAAAAAAAAAAAAAAAAAAAAAAAAAAAAAAAAAAAAAAAAACAAAAAGAAACAAAAAAAAAAAAAAAAAAAAAACAAAAAAAAAAAAAAAAAAAAACTATATATCGGAATAAGAACGCATAATGTTTTCAAAATAGATTATCATGGTTAGTAGAGAGGCCGTCTTCGATCAGTCGAGAGGAGGGTGCTCATAGCTGACCTTCCCCAATCGTACCCAGTTCCCAAAGTCGAGGCAACTTTGGTGATGAACGGACACGTGGCCTTAGGCAAACGAGTCAGAGTTTCCTAATTCCCCCAAAATAAATATTTAGGTAAGGCGACTTCTGTATCTGGCCAAGCAGTCCATGTTTGGACACTTATTTGCAAAAAATCGGTTTTCCAAAACGATTTGCCGGATAGACTCTTTGGTGATTTATCAATCTCACATTGCACATTGTGAGATCAGATTTAAGAACCTGACACAAAGCGAGTCCGAACTGTAGGCATGGGGCCAAAGGGCACGTCTTACAGTACGCTTCTTAGCTTTGACGCCGCATTATTCGGGCTGCCCACACCTGTATATTGCATCACTTTTCATGCATTCGGGTCCAGGTCTATCCATGTTTGTGGGGTTTTGCTATCTTCAAAGATGAATACGTGCATAAACCCATGCTGAGATGGTACTCTATCTCATCTTAGTATCTAGACCCCTAGATGCATGTTTTGCATTACATTGCATTATAATTTGCATATTAGGATCATGGCATATTTGTATATATCTGTATATATTGTTAGACTCGCTTGGAGTATAGGTATGCATTGTTTTTAAGCTTTAGTATATTGCATGTGATAGTTCCTTATCATATAGTACTACATCATGAGCTAAGTGCTTAAATGAAACATTCTACTTGAATACCAATGGTGTGGGCTGTGTTATTTATTTGGAGAAATAGCTGATTCTTATGCTAATCTTCTCCTCTTTTT